TCCACACACCACTCATCTGCTCACTAATTTACCTGCATTGGGATTCAGGTGGTGTAGTGAAGTTGGGCCTGCAATGGTAATATCTTTTTTGACTGCATGCACTCATGCATTATTATTAGGCACATTATTTTACTTGAGCAGTGCAATGGGGAGAGATCTGATCCGGAGGAAAAGTGTAGAAAAAGAGACACACACATACACACACACACACAAACCAGCAGAGAGAAAGAGGACAGAATCATTTCGCCTGCAAAATATATAGTCAATTCACTTTACAGTATATTCTGTGAAACGCTTTGAGACGTCTCGAAGACGTGATAAGACGCTGTATCAAATGCAAGGATTATTATTATTATCCCCGTCCTTCCCTAAAACTATGTGTAACCCTATGATCAATGACTAGTACTATCTCCCTCTTGCTTTCCATTGCAGGTTATAACAAGTTCAACAGAAAGTATGCAGAAGCTGTATTCAAATTATACTCAACAAAATAAGGCAACAAAATGTTAACCGTTTCCTTAATATTTTACCCACAAAGATATACTGTCAATTAATTTTACAAAAATTCGGTGAAGCGCCTTGAGACGTCTGAATGACGTGATAAGGCATGATATCAAATGCAAGAATTATTAATATAATCCTTGCGTTTGATATAGCGCATTATCATGTCTTCAAGACGTCTCAAAGCACTTCACAGGATATACGGTAAAGTGAATTGACTGTATATTTTGTGGGCGAAACATGGCAGCCAATTGCACGCAGCAGTGTCCCACAAACAGTCGTGGACTGAGTGACCAAATGTTTTTTCAAGGGATTACCCCTGGAAAGCAAGCTACCAATCGACTAACAACCGGGTTTCTACTTACTGCTAGGTAAACAGAGGTGCATGGAGTAAGGAAACTTGTCCAACGTTTCACACACTAACGTGCATATACACTCACACATACTCTCTCTCTCACACACACATACAATCACTCTCTCACACTCACATACACACAGACCAGTAAGTGGGCCTGGTTTTGTACACACATTCTCACTCTCTTTCTCATTATTATTTAATCTAACGTTGTTCATGTTTTTGCTCATGAGAAGACAATACATTTTTTAAAATAATGACCATAAAAATTTCCCGGGGGTGGGGCATGGTCGATGTTGCTTTTTAAATCCTCAGACAAACTTATCACACCCAATAAAGAAAGAATACAATACAATGAAGGCTGAAGCTACAACAACAACATTCATTTACACTCAGAGAGTTTCTGTGGCTGTTTGTGAGAGAGATATTGCTGCGTGCAAATTGGCTGCCTGTTCGGCTACAAATATACACACATTCCAGTATATTCAGGGAAACGTTCTAAGACGTCCTCCCGAAATGAAAGGTGGTATATCAAACATAAGAATTAATAATGCCTTTCATGTTGGAGAAGGGAATGCTTTGGGGAAGTTGGATGGGTGGAGGGATACTCATGTGCAATACAGTCTATGTAATTTTATGAAAATATCTCAAAAGTGCTCAAAAAGCTACAATTTGTTGCTTAGCAATAGCACCTGGCCCCAAGTGTCTCAAAATCATAGTCTCTAGACATTCACTGTGCAGAATTTTTGCAAAACTCTTTCTAAATTCAATCGTAGTTTGAAGCCAGTTTCTTAAGTAATAATAATTACGTCCTCCCGACATGAAAAGCGCTATATCAAATGCAAGGATTAATAATAAACCTTGAATTTGTTATCACACTCTCGAGATATCTCAAAGCACTTGGCAAATGGAATGACTGTATTTTGCAGAAGTAATACAGTAAAGAGGGCCTCCCAAATTAATTTTCCACCATTCCACACAACAGTAAAAATTTAAGACAAAGCTCCGATACTCTTTTTCCAGTAGCATCACAAGATCTTTTAATATCCGCCCAAAGACCAGGCAGATGGAAGGGAGCTGGATTTTAACACCTCCGATAATGCGGCACTTCTGTGCTGAGCATCAGCTTGGACTATGGACTCATAAAGTTGTAGTACCGGAACTTGCTTGTGAAACTGAACAGCAATATATCTGTAACACCTTGCATCTGCTGCAGCGCCCACAGCATTGAAATGTCCTAAACCTCTTCACAGGGAATTGCCGTATTGGTTTTATTGACTGTATTTGTAGAGAAACACGGTAACCAGTCTGTATAATAGTCTATCGGCAGATCTGGCTGGACCCTTAACAAATCTTACCGCTCCGCCCTTGGCTCCACTAAATCGTTCTTCTACTCCAAGATAATCTTGGAGGCCAAGGACGACCCCTGGCTCCTCTTCTCTCTCACCAACCGGCTACTCCGCCCACCCTCTCACACCTCGCCCATCCTCTCCTCCAATGCCAACTGCGAGGAGAAGTTGAGGGGATCCGCTCAGCTCCTCTGCCCTTCCGACCACTACTAATCCCTCCAGATCTTCCCCTCACACCCTGGCCCCTACCCATCCCTCCCTCCACACTTTCGAACCTGCTCCCCCTCCTTATTCACAACCACCCTAACCCACATGAAACTGACCTGCCCCTTCAAACCCATCCATAGCCATCTCCTTACCTCCCAGCTCCACCTCCTTGCCCTTCTACTCACAGATGTCATAAACGTCTCCCTGTGCACTGGCACCATTCCCACACATTTAAAAACGTCATCACTCCTATCCTTAAAAAACCTTCCCTAAACCTTGAAACGAGTCGTCGTTTCCCTGCTTCACTCCTTCCTCTCCCACCACTCCCTTCACGAACCTCTCCAATCAGGTAAAAAACCTTTGGACAAAGTATCAAATCACTGTTTGTCCATCTGTGACCAGGGATCCCTCTGCCTCCTCGTCCTCCCTGACTTCTCTGTTGCCTCTGATACCAATGACCCTCTATTTTCTTCTACCGCCTCTCCCTTCACCTTGACTTTCCTGGTTCTGTCCTTGAGTGGTTCAGATCCTACCTCTTACACCATCTCAACTTCATCTCCACAAACGGCTTCTCCTCTAGCCCCCGCACCATCTCATGTGGGGTTCCTCAGGGCTCTGTCCTTTTCAATATCTATATGCTCCCTCTTGGTGACATTTGTGCGCAATTGGTTGCCACGATTCACCGACAAAATGTACAATCAATCAATCCTCTTTACAGTATATCCTGTGAAGCGCTTTGAAATTTCTCAAAGACGTGATAAGGCGCTATGTCAAATGCAAGGATTATTATCATCATCTGCAGACATGGGGTCAATTTCTACATGTATGCAGATGACACCTAACTCTATCTCTCTGCCTCCACCCTTGACTCCAGAACCACTGCTGTCCTGACAGAATGTCTGTCAGACATCAAGTCCTGGATGAGAGATAACTTTCTTCAGTTGAATGTCAACAAGACCGAGGCTCTCCTGATTGGATCCGGTCAGCGCCTCCTCACCTCAGACATTGGCAGCATCACCATCCAAGGTTGCACACTATAGCTCACTAAGCCAGTCCAGAACCTTGGGGTCTTGTTCGACCCTCAACTATGCTTTCTACCCCACATCCATGCCATGACCCTCTCTGCCTGGCCCCACCTCCGCTACATCGCTTGGTTCCGCCACTGTTTACACCGCAGGCCGCCGAGACCCTCATACACACATTTATAACATCCAGGCTCAACTGTGCAAACTCCCTGCTTGACGGCCTCCCCCACTCATCATCCAGAACTCTGCAGCTCGTGTGTCCCCCGCACCAGGCTCCGCGACCTTATCACCTCCATTCTCACCCAACTCCTCTGGCGTCCCAACACAGTTAAGATCTTTGTCTTCATCTTCAGCCCAGCTCATCAACAAAATTACATTTGTAAAGCACCTTCCACGTCAGGAGGACATCCCAAAGCGCGTCCCAAACTCAGTCAGGAACTCTCTCGCCTTTGAATCAGAAGGTCGTGGGCCCAAGCCCAACGTTTGATCTTTGAGCTGACAGTCTCGGCTGACAATCCAATGTAGTGCTAGGAAGTGTTACATTGTTAGAGATGCTATCTTGTTCAGCTGGATGTTAAGATAAAGTGACACGATTTGGAAATAGTTTCTCCCAGTGTCCTGGTCAACAATCTACCAGGTCATTTACTTCTTAGCTGTTTTGGGGATATTGCTGTGTGCAGATTTGCTGCTGTGTTCTTCTACAAATACACAGTCCACTACACTCAACAGTAAATCCTGTGAAGCGCTTTGAGATATTTTGACAATGTGATAAGGTGCTATACCAACTCGGGTGCAAAGCCAGTGCCTTGGGACGTCCTCCTGATGTGAAAGGCGCCATATAAATTAAATAATAATAATTTGGTCACTCAAATGTTTTTGGGACAATGCTGTGCGCAATTGGCTGCCACATTCCACGCACAAAACATAGTCAATTGACTTTACAGTATATAATAATAATCCTTGCATTTGATATAGCATAGCACCTTATCGTGTCGTTGAGGCGTCTTAAAGCGCATCACAGGATATTCTGTAAAATGGATTGACTGTAAATGTTGTGTTTTGTAAAGCGCTTTGAGACGTCTCAACGATGTGATAAGGCGCTATATCAAATTCAAGGATTATTATTGTTATAAACAAGTAACCTAGCTCAGTGGTTAGAGCACTTTGCAAGCGAGATACCTGAGTTCAATTCCAGGCACAGGGCGAAACCTTGGGCAAGTTTCCTTACTCCACACAGAGCCTAATAATAATCCCTCCAAAACCAAAAACAATAATAAATTGGTCATTTTCAATCTACGACTGTTTGTGGGACATTGCTGTGCGCAATCGGCCGCCGCGTTCGCCCACAGTCAACTCACTTTACAGTGTGTTCCGTGAAGCGCTTTGGGACGTCCTCCCGACGTGAAAAAGCGCTATATCAAATGCAAGGATTATTATTATTATTATATTATTATTATTATATTAAAATCGCTCAGTACGCGAGGATGATCAGGACTTTTAGCTCCATCAGGAAAACGTGTAGCATTCAGCACAGGGGGGTGTGCAAGAGAAACAGCCACTTACCACTGTAGGAGATGGTTATCCTGGGAAGCGAATCCGAGGTGAAGCCCAGAGCGCAAAATAAACTCAAAACACCAACGAATGTGATCACGGCTCCGACTTTCATGGTGGCAAAAAAAAAAAAATTTTTTTTTTAAAAAACGTTTCTCAAACACGAAAGCAAAATCGTGTGTCCCCCCGAAAAAAAAACAAAAAACACCTCGAGGAGAGGAGAGAGAGAGAGGGGGAAAAAAAAGGCTTCCGAAAAAAATGTGGGGTGTTTTTTTAAAAGCAAAACTTTACAGTGTGTTTTTTTTTGGCAAATTTGATTTCTGTCGAGAACCAATCGACCAGGAAAAGGGGGGGAGAGAAAAAAAAGGTAATAAGAGAGATCCAGTGAAGAGGTTCACTCCTTCCTCTCACGTATCGCCGACTGAGTTCGAGGTCCCCCACCAACAACGCGTTGAAAGTCGCCTGAAACTTGTCAAGATGTCAGAGAACGTGCCCGAGCCGCGGCCGTAACGAACCCCCCGGGGCTCTGGGTGCCGGGTGGTCGCGGCCGTAACGAACCCCCCGGGGCTCTGGGTGCCGGGTGGTCGCGGCCGTAACGAACCCCCCGGGGCTCTGGGTGCCGGGTGGTCGCGGCCGTAACGAACCCCCCGGGGCTCTGGGTGCCGGGTGGTCGCGGCCGTAACGAACCCCCCGGGGCTCCGGTTGCCGGGTGGCCGCGGGTCCGCAACGAACCCCCTCGAGGCTGCAGCACCGTCCGGGGCTCACAGCAAAGGTCGGGTCGGGGGGAGGTTCGGCGGCTCTCACGTTTGTCGCCCAAACACTCGCCTCAAAAGTAGCGCAGTGCTCACTCAGCGCGTCGGTCAGCACCGGGGCCGTCCGGTTCAGGTGAGCGCTTTTTTACAACTGTGCGGAGAAAAGGTCTTTTTTTTAAAAAAAAAAGGGGCGGAAAACAGGTTTCGATTTAAATATTAAAATGACGCGCGCGGCCCCCAGTGACTTGAGCGCAGAAGAGCAACAAAGCCCAATCGGGCGTGAAACCCGCCCAATCCGGTAACCTTTGCCATTATATTATTATTATTATTATTATTGCTGGTATGGTTTGGAGCGGTAAAGCGCTGAAATGATTCGCAGGCGAGTCAAGCCAACCAGACCCGGGTTCGATTTCCCGGGGCCGGAGGAAACCTCGGGCACGTGTGCGCACCCCCACCCACCTCGGCGTACCTGGCAGTAAGCAGGAACCCGGTTGTCTAGTCGATGAGCGGATCACTTTCCGCAGATAATAATCTCTTTTTTAAAAAAATAATCATCGCGATTTGGTCGCTCGGTCCACCCTGTGTGTGTGTGTGTGTGTGTGTGGGACGCTGCTGTGCGCAATTGGCTGCCGCGTTTCGCCCACAAATATACAGTCACTTTACAGTATGTGCTGTGAAGCACTTTGAGACGTCTCAACCCCGCGATAAGGCGCTATGTCAAATCCAACCATTATTATTTTTTATTAGTACGTGTTCCATTGGTGTCAGCCTGTCTCAGTGGATAACACTCCCACATCTGAGTCAGTAGATTGTGGGTTCAAGTCTCCACGAGGGGACTTGGAATTACATAGTCTAAGTTGAAGCTCCAATGCAGTGTTACGACACACCATCCTCCTCCGTCACGCCATCCTCCTCCACCGCCTCTCCTCCCTCCCTCATCCACCTTAGTGGGATCGCACTATCCTGGTTCGAGACCTACCTATCAAACCACCTTCACTTTATCTCTTCAAGCAGTTTCTCCTCCCGCCCCTCCCGTTCACCTGTGGTGTACCCTAATGCTCCATCCGTGGCCCCCACCTCTTCCTCATCTATATGCTCCCTCTTGGCAATGTCATCCACAGATATCGGGTAAACTTCCACATGTGTGGAGATGACACACAAATCTACTTCTCCTCCTCCAGATGCGACTCCAGGTCCATCAATATTCTCTTGGCTTGTCTGGCGGACATCAGGGCTTGGATGAGAGAAAACTTCCTGCAACTAAATGTTGACAAGACGGAAGCCATACTCATTGGCTACCATCAACATCTTCTATCCTGCAGATCTGACCTCCTCAACCTTCCCGGCCTATCCCGCAGACTTACCGAACCGGTGCACAATCTTGCATCAGGTTCGACCCACAGCTGTTCTTCCTTCCCCACATCCAGTCCCTGACCAGGACCACCTTCCTCCACTTCCGCCACATTGCCCACCTCCAACCATGCCTCCAGAGGCAGCCAAAACTCTTGTCAAATCGTTTGTCACCTTGTCACCTCCCAACTCGACTTTTCAAGTGCTTCTTTGCCGGTCTCCCCAGTTCCACCATGCACAGGATCCAACTGATCCAAAACACAGCCGTCCGTACTAAACTCTGTACCCCCATCACCAGTTCTAGCCAGGCTCCACTGGCTCCCCACTGCCGAACACATCGATTTCAAGTTCCTCACACTCATTTTCAAATCCCTTCATGCTCTGGCAACTCCCTCCCTCTCTGACCTGCTTACCCCCCCCCCAACCCATAACCTGCTGCCTCAGCTCGACTGTCTCTGGCCTTCTGCATGTCTCCCGTGCCCTCTGTTCCACCATTGGTGGCCGTGCTTTCAGCCACTATGTCCCAAAACTCTGGAACACTCTTCCTCTATCTCTCCACCTTGCCCCTTCCTTCCCCACTTTCAGGTCACGCCTGAAGACCTTCCTCTTCGACCATGCCTACGGTCATCTCAGCCTCCCCCCAGCTCAGTGTCATGCTCCGCAACTGTCATGTACTCTGGGACACTACCCTGCGTGAGGGGCGCAAGTTGTTGTTGTTGACGAAGGATTTGAAAGTTATTCCAGTGTAACATGCCATTGATCACAATGCAGGCACAATGTACATAAACACACACTGCAAGAGGTCACATCTATACTAGATAGTTTCATTTTATGTCTAGAAAACATCTGTTCTTAGACATTAATGGAGAATAAACATGCTGGGGAAGTACTTTCTATTTGCCCAATAATAATAATATAATAATAATAATAATCCTTGCATTTGATATAGCGCTTTTCACGTCAGGAGGAAGTCCCAAAGCGCTTCACAGAATATACTGTAAAGTGAATTGACTGTATATTTGTGGGCGAACGCGGCAGCCAATTGCGCACAGCAATGTCCCACAAACAGTCGTAGATTGAAAATGACCAATACTGAAGGCAGTGCAGAGAAGAGCATCAAAGCTGATCCCCAATGTTAGAGACAATTCAGAAGAATGGCCCCTCTGATAAGGCAGCACTACCCCAAGCAATGTCCTGGATAGTGAACCTGGACTGAGTTCAAAGTACCGACACGGTGCTTAAACCTACAAACCTTCAGGCTCCAAGGTTCTTACCAACTGAGCCAAGCTGACACCGAAAATTAAGAGTAGGGTGTTCCAGTGTGTGTATGTGTTTGTGTGTGTGTGTAGGGGGGTGGGGGCTAGCATCAGCACAGACATGATGGGGAGAGAGCAGAAAAATGAGATTAGCACTATTTAAAAAGAAATGGGAGTTTCTTTATCCCCTGAAATGCTTTGAGATGCTTCCCAACATGAATCAAATGGAAGAATTCCTATTAAATTATTAAATACATAACAATATCAATAAATTATTAAATTATTATTAAATTGCAATTTAACAAATTTAACAATCTGGGTAGGATGAATATCCATAGTCAAAATCCCTCCATGGCCTTATCCCAATGTATCTCTGTGACCTCCTGTCATCCTACCGCTCCCTCCACCCACCCAGCCTGTTTCATGTTTCCTCCAACCCACCATCCATCACCATCTGCGGGCAAGCTTTCAGACTCTCTGCCCTCGCTCCCTGAAACTCCAACCCGGAGTCCCAACGCCCTGCTGTCTCCCTCCTCACGTTAATAAAATGTTGACAACAAAGGCAAAAATTGGCTCATGGGCTAAAACTAGGTAGAATTTTGGACTGTGCATTGGCTGGGGCAGCCATTTTGAGCACACACATCAAGGTCCCACATAAACCCACAAATGATTCCACATAGCTAATGGCCACACTGTTATTGGGTAAAAACACTAACAGACTATTGCTGAGGTCTTGAAATAACTTGAAGAAAACTCAGTTACACTGTTTTAAACCGAGATAAAGATAAGATATTCCATGTACATGCATGAAGAGAGTAATTTTGCAAGGCTGCAAGAGTTTCTTTTTCCCCGATATGGTAACAATCAAACAGCTTCCCTTCAATGACAAGCAGCGGGAGGGCTTTCTAAAGACAAGCTGCCAGATGGGTTTGCGGTAACAAGCAGGAACCATGCAGCAAAGGCTTCAGCCTACATTGAATCTATCACTCTGTCTATGGAGTTCAAATCTCTTCACACACACTGATAGCTTCATGAGTTCTTTAACATCCACCTGAAAAAGCAAATAAGACTTCAATTTAAAATCTTATTTGAAGTACTGCACCTCCAAAAATTGCTGCGCTCCCCCACCACTGCACTAGAATGACAGCCCAGGTCAAAATCTCCAACAAAGCACTTAAACCAAAAAATCGAGGGTTGTGGGGAGGACAAGTTTGCAGGGTTATGGGGTGGGATTGATTTGGATAGCTCTTTTCAAAAAGCCAGCAGACACGATAGGCCAAATGGCCTCCTTCTCTGCTGTATAATTCTACGATTCTATATCCCAAAGTGCTTCACAGAATATACTGTAAAATAAATTGACTGTACGTTTTGTGGGCTAAACATGGCAGTCAATTGCACACAGCAGTGCCCCACAAACAGTTGTGGATTGAGTGACCAAATTGTTTTTTTAAGAGATTATTATCAAACCCAGGTCCTCTCGCTTGCAAGGGGGTTGCTTTAACCACAGGACAAGACTGATATTCCCAAACTCTGCTTCAAACACCTCGTGAAAACTACACTCCAAACGTGCTTGATGAGCAGCCAAGCCATAAACCAAGGAGTTTTCCGAATTCAATCCCGTTTGTGCTGTGTGGGGGCAGCGGTTGAATCCACAATTGGCTTCAATGGCTGACGTTCAGGAGGGGAAATCAGCCAGGGCTTTGAGTTTCTGATTGTAACTCAGCGACCCCTGGTGCTCAGTTTGTGGATATCAGGCAAGAATTGGATTGACTTTGGTTTCTTTCCCCAACAGCCTGCTCACACTGCTATCCAGTCTCATAAATCCCGAATAGCCACCTAGGCAACATACCG